ACTAGGAGGTCGCTATAAGAATCATACGACACTAGGACCACACATAATTTCCAACTGCACAACCGAGTAACACACATCCGTAACCTCTTCACACATTACTTCCAACACAAATTCACAACCAAATGGCGGCCAAATTGAAATCCAATGTAGTCCACATCATCACTTCACCAGTTCATATCCAAAGTCATGAGAATGCAAGAGGTAAGCAAAGATGGTTTATATGCATACATGAAAGTAAACAATTTTAATTATTACTCAAAAGAACTACTAAATAGCCTAATAGAAATTAACACAATACATACCACCAACAACAGTAGTTTGAGTCCCATTTGGTCTATCCAAAACACCAGTTTTGGCTGCAAGATTCAGAATTTCCAAGGCTTCACTATCAGAAACTTCAATATCTGTGAAAGAGAGATTGAGGGTAGGTGAAGAAAAGAGAAATATATTTTAACATAAAAGCATACCCAATTGAAAAATGAAAAATGGGTTAAGAATTGAAATTGAAAGGAAAACCTCGAGCAAGGTGGGAGGCGGAGGCACGAGCAATGGCATCGAGAGTGGTGTAACCAGCAGCCAAGAGTTTTCCTCTCTTAGAAGCTGAGATTGGAAGCATACCCACTTCCATGCTTCCCACTCTCACTCTCTACCTTCCACCATGTTCTTCTTCTTTCTTCAGATTCTCACTTTTTCTGATCACAGAAGAGTAAAAATTGACATAAATCATAGGTTCATGGTGCAGAAACACTTCAAATTGCTCAAGTGATTTGAATAAAATTTTGAAAATTAAATTGATTATTAATAGAAAACACTGAAAAAAGAAAAAAAAAATTACTTCGATATTTTCTGATGTTTTGTTCTTATGTTTAAAACTAAATCGGACTATACTAAATTTATATTTAATATTTCATTTTACTTTGAATAAATCTCAAGTCCAAAAGTATTTTATTCTTCAATTTGTTGTATGTATTTGAATTTTTTTAAAATTAGAATTTAAACAAATAATGAGATTTTACACTTTGAATAAGTTTTTTATATTCATTATATATTTGACTTTTTATTTACAAGTTGTTTTATACATACAAAAAATGAGTGACTGAAGGACTTCCATAGTTTAAGAAAATCACTTCTGTTTTTATTTTTATTTCTAAAAAATCGTTTTTAAAATTTAGAAAACGCAAAAAGTTGTCTCAATTACCAAGAATTTAGAGTTAGTGTCGAAGTGAAATAAAATATTCCTTTTTTTCAAACATTTTTTAAAAATAAAATTATAGCGAATGTTTCAAAATAAATAATATCTTTGAATATATTATGATTTATTCAAATAATGTTACTTAAATAACCTAAAATCAAAATAAGTATTTATTAAAAAAATTATTAAAAAATAGGTTTAAATTCTTGCATCGTCCTCATATTTGTTGGAAAATCTTAAGTGAGTCTTCGTTTTTTAAATTGTCTCAATTGGATTCATATATTTATAAAATTGAGTCAATTTTGCCCTGTCCTTTAAGTTTTGACAGGCGACGTTGAGAGATGTTGAGGTGTATTTTTTTAAATGGCGTGACATTGCGTATTAAATTGAAGGTTTAATCATTCAGAAAGTCTCTATTTTAGGACAGAATCTCAATTTGGTCCTTTTCTTTCTAGGTGTCTCAATTGGGTTCTATTTTTGTGAAATTCGGCCCCTGTCGTTAAATTGAGCCCAACGACGACAGTCTCTGGTTGACGAGGCACGCTGGATATTTGTATTTTTTTAGAAACAAAGAAATGAATAACACATCACCCATCTCTTCTAACACACCACCAACTTCTTCAACTCCATGGATCCCAAACCCTACGCCTACACCTACTCCCCCTGAGAATCCTCCCCCTCTTTCACCAAATGCTCCGACACCTTCTTCACCTCTGAAGATTGCTACTTCTGGATCGACCTCCACACCGGTCCGGTTGACTACAGGCCCGCAATCTCCGATGACGGTGTCATCCCCCGCGGCGAGTTTCACCCCCTCGTCACTGTCCACGGCCGTCCCAAATCAAGAAAGGCTTGCGTTGCCGACCTCGCCTCCCTTAACTGATTTGCCTACAATGTCTTCCTCGCTCCCTCCCTCCGGATACCTGTTCCGTTCGAGAATTCCCTCACCGTCCAGTTCATCCACATCCACAGCGATTTCGATAGCACGGTTAGCTCCTACCTTAAATTGAAATTGATCGAGAAGAGCTTTAGGTTTGAGACTAATAACAACAATAATGGATTGCTGTTAGGAGATCAAAGGTTGAGTTTTAAGAATTATGGAATTAGGTTTCAGAGTGTTCGATTTGCTCGTTTGCTATTGTGAGGTCGATTAATTCGTATACCTGTAGGTTTTAATTTGATAATTATACTTTGATTATGAGTATTTGGATTCGAAACGGTTGCACCAGATTTTGTTAGGGTTGTGCCTGTGTCTATTTTTGACTCAGATTACAGCATAACTAGTGCGATTGATGTTCTTCAAAGCGTTGAGACTCATGGTGGGGGAAAGAATCTGCTGAAGTAGAAGCCACATGTGGAGTTTGTCCAGCAGTGGAACTTTTTCAAGTACAAGTTGAACAAGGTTGTGTCTGCGATGTCGCATTTGGATTTTGAGAAGGCTGTGTTTTACTTGAGGTCTTATGATCATGATCTGTATGCCATTCATTCCATCGTTTATCACGCCTTGCAGGAAATAGAGGTCTCCCTTGGTGTCATTCATTCCTACTTTCCATTTCTTTGTTTTAAAAAAAATACAAATATTCACGTGAGACTCAGGTGCCCCACCACGTCAATTAAAAAGTCAGTCCAACGTGCCATGTCAACCAGAAACTGACGTCGTTGAGCTCAATTTAACGGCAGGGGCCGAATTGTTGCAATTTTCACAAAAATAGGACCCAATTGAGACGCCCAGAAAGAAAAGGACCAAATTGAGATTCTACCTGAAAATAGGGACTTCCTGAACGATTAAACCTAAATTGAATTGGTTATATGTTGTAGAATGAACAATTCCACGTGGAAAAGTAATTTTTTATGGTTGATAGCCCTAACATTCAAAGGGAACCCGTGACATCTAAAGTCTTATACATCTTTGTCTTAGGAAAGAAGAGCTTGCGGAAGCACTACTCAGCTGAGGATGTCTCGTTCATCTTCGTCTTGCAAATGCACGGGTTGGGGCTTTCAACAGAGTAGCGGCAATGGTAGCAGGTTGGGTGTAAAACCCACTTACTTCTATGGTCACAATGCAGTGTTCCGAATTGCGAGAACCCCTAAAAACAAGGGCAAAAAATTCAGGGGTTGCCTTAACTTCAAGGTAAGTTTAATGGAAGCAGAAATGTTAGTTTTATTCTGGGTTTTGACGAGGGAGTGTTTTTTCTTCTTGAACAAGGTGGAAGTGAAGATTTCGTTAGCTGCAACTTCTTTCAATGGTGCAATGAAGAAGGAATTCTTGAAGTAAATGCGGTGAATGTAGAATCAAGGAGTGCAAGTGCAAGAAATGAAGAAGTGGGTGGAAGTTCCATGAAGATGGAAGAAAGTCTGATGAAGATGGAAGAAACATATGTTGAAAAGATGAAATTAGCTTGTTTAGAGAAAAGTGTTGTTATGTTGGGAAAGTGGTTGAAGGTTTTAATGAGGATAGTCTTTGTTATATGTGTTTGTAATGTAATTGTAATATCAATGTTGATGAAACTTGGTTGATTTAGTACAAGTTTATGTATTGTAATTTGCTATTTGTAATGTTATTGTCTGTTTTATTTATAAACGTGAGTGATTACTGTTTAATATTGTCTAATTTGATTTATTTAATTATAATGCTCATTAAATATAGGAATGATCACTTGTAGTGAATAAGGTAAAGAAAGTGAAAAAGAAACATCATAAAGCAATGGTCAATAAACATCATGCAAGAATGATCACCTCATCAATACGCAATGGTCAATAAACATGATAAAACATTGTCTTATAATCGAAAGAAACCTAATAACAACATTGTCTTACATTATCAAAATACAGTAAAATAAACTGATAAAACATTGTTCCTTGATCATTAAACATTACATGATATTTAAAAGATTGTCTTCAAAATGAAAGTGCAAACATTTTATACAAATTAAAGATGAGTTCATTGATCAAAAGGAAGCACAATAGATTCCTGAGTAATAGGCACATATGTTGGTGGAGGTATTGTGACTTGTGTTTCTTGAGTAGATTAATCACTAGGCACATGTGTTGGTGGAGGTATTGTGACTTATTTTTGTTGAGTAGATTAGTGAATAGGAAGCACAACTCTTGGAGGTCTTTGTTGACAAGATCTTTTGTTGTGTCCAAGTTCTTTTAGAGAGCACATGTCTTTCTGCTCCTACCCTTTCTTAATTTAGTTACATTTTTTTGTGGACAAGATCTTTTGTTGTGTCCAAGGTCTTTTGTAATGGTTTTTGAAAAAGAAAATTTAATTAAAAAAGCAACACGTGTGATATATGTGTCAACACACATATCACAATATTTGATAATGAGTTGGAACGTCGTTTGTCAGGCATGATAAATTTTAACGTTGTTGAAAAGTAGATATCAAAATCAATGTTTTTCAAAGTACAAAGAAAATGACCAAGTTACGACCAGGAACCATTTTCAATTTTATGTAAAATTTCAGAAATCAAAAACTAATTTTTTTTTATAATTATTATAGTTATTATTTTGGTTAACTGTATTGATATTATATATATTTCTAACTATTTATTTTACATTATCAATTTTATAATGTTTTATTTAATAGTTTTACACTAATTAAATGAAATGTTAAAAGAAATCTAATAAAAAGTTTATTTTATGGTTTTATTTTAAAATAAAATCATATAATCTAGACCTTTTTAATTATGAGAGTTAATTACTTTTATTTTTGTACAGTTAAAAAACATTTTTTTTAAAATAACTGAATATATACCTGTGCTTGCCAATATGAGCAGTAAAAATATATTATATCACAGGATTTTAACACAAAAGACAAGGTTTAAATCAACACTAACAATCTGTAGTCTCTGACCTAGAGAACAATTGGATCTTGAACAAATAAAAGAGGTACTGAAAGTAAAAAGAAGTGGATCAAATGGAAGATAACCCAATTAAATGGAATGAAAAAGCAAAGAAAATATTACAAGAAACTACTAAGAATGACCTTGCTAAAAGTGATTTTTATTGATAGTTTAGTTTTTCACAAAGTTTCACGGTGTCAATTGATCCATATAGCTGACCTCAGCTAACAAGGTAAGAATTGGTTGCTGTATTTTTAAGCCATTCTGCGTGCCATGCCAATGCAAAACATACAACTTGTCAGGACAAAACATCCTAGTATCAGATATCATTTGCTTTCTCATTCAACACTTGTTGTCACCATTTCCATGCACAATGATGGATAATCTTCCAGCAGGTTATAGCAATCGGTAGAAGAGCATCAACCAGTGCAAAAGAATCATCACATGTTTCATAAACCTCCTGATGGGAAACTCACATGGTGAATTTGTGCAGTTCTTGGTAACTCTTAGTGTGAAAGCCTGTCATTGAACAGATAACTGCAAGTAAACCTCAATGGTTCAATCCAATAAAGCGCGGTTAAAGGTTTGGGAGGCTTAAAATGAGACATTTTTATTTACTAATAAAATAATTTATGTTAAAATGTATCACAATTTTATTTAAAATTTATTTTTCAAGCTTTTTCTTATGTAAAATTATCTATTAAATTAGTACCAAAAAATATTTTTTGAAGCCTTTTTTTTCCTGAAGACCTAAAACAAGGGTTTTACCTGCTTGAGCCTTAAGACGACCTGAACCCAATTCACAAGTAAAATGGGTCTTGTTTGGGGGCAGTAGTAGCAGCAACCAAAGATTTTGCCCACCATACCATTTTACGGTTGTCCATTTTGGCAGTAATACATGGATAACCTATATTGAATCCAGCTCCCACTTTCTTTGGTCAATTTCAAGACAGAATTTACAGTATCAGTTTTCTTCCTACTCCTCCTGAGCCAGAAACAGCAGAATAATTTAGTTGTTGATATTAATATTAAAAAAAATGTTACTAAAGAAGCAGCAGGAAAAAAAAAACTAAAAAATGAACAATGCATTGAAGCAAACATGAGTAGACATGTGAATCATGTATGGTAGCAATAATATGAAACCAAGAAGCAGAAATAGAAAGCGTCAGCAATTGGATTTGGACAAATTTTTTAAAGCAATATTTATTGTGTTGTTGATGCAGTATATTGATCAGACAAATTCATAAGCTTTCAAATGCAAGCATGACCACAATCCAATATACAAGAGCCAAGAGTTTATACATAACATTCAGAATTTCTTTAACTTGACCTCTTCATCCCGTTGAGTCTAGAAGTAGAACCAAGTCATGAAGTCATTTAAGTTGGAGTCCAACACCGTAACTATGCAAGTATTCTCCAAAATGTACATGGCATCATTAGAATCAATGTTCTGGCCAATGATTGCCATAGTTGGTTCTGGTTCTGTGCCATATGACTGTTTTTTAGCATGGAGAATCATAAAAGTTAGTCTTAAACAATATTATAATAGAAATCATATTAGTAAATCCATCATAATCACGTTAAAGATTTGCAATGATAATAGATCACAACCAAGCCATGAGCTGCATACGAGATTTGACCAACATAAGGAGGAAACTTTAAGCAAGGACAAAAACTAGGGGGTAAACAGTAAAAAGATGTATGATGGGAGAAAGATGTTGTTAGGTTTCTTGGTATCAAGTAACCTAGATACTATCTTAGAGTCAATAATCACAACAAGTTTATGAATTCTCACAAGGGAAAAACAGTTTTATTGAATGGGTGACTGTGAAAGAAATCAACAACGGTCAAGGGAAAAGCTTTCCCTTACACAGGATCTTGTTTCAGAAATAAAACACTCGACAACCAACACAATACACCCCCAACTCCTTAAAAGACAAACAAAACATAACCGACAAAGAAACTACTGCTAACTGCTGTAAAACTCCTCCTAACTCCTCCAACCACCACTTACTAACTGTTCTTTCTATTTTTTCTGACATAAACCTTCCAAGACCTATCAAATGTCTTCATGGTATTTACATATATTTTCTAAGGTAGGACACCCTTGGTAGAATGAAAAGTTGGTACAGGCTATCCAGGGAAGATTGTAATAAAATGAACAGAAGAAATAGAGAAAACAAACTGACAAGTTTAGGAAACAAATTCATCTCCATAAGCAGGAATTTCACATTTTAACATAAGAAGCTCTAGTTGCTTTGTCAATGAAACCAGGCATTCATAAATCCATTCAAACTGTGGATGTAACACATCCTTTGCCACAAACTCGTGCACAATGCCATTGATTTCAATTGAGCTGCAACCAGGAATCTTTTCTACTCCTCTCTTCTTCATTATATTTCTTGCGTTCCTTGCCTCCTTCCACATTTTTGCCTCACTGTACATAGTAGCAAGCAAAACATAAATACCACTATCTTGAGGATCCATCTCAAGAAGTTTCAAAGCTGCCCTCTCTCCTATTAAAACATTACCATGAACACGACATGCAAAGAATAAAGCACCCCACACAGCAGCATCTGCTGCTATTGTCATATTTCTAATAAGCTCTTCTGCTTCCTCCAAATGACCAGCCCTTCCTAAAAGATCCACCATGCACGAGTAGTGTTTAAGCTGAGGAGTTATATTAAAGTTAAAGCTCATTTGGGAAAAGTATTTTCGGCCTTCTTCAACTAAACCTCCATGACAACAAGCTGATAAGACACCAAGAAAAGTGATCTCATCAGGTCTTAAGCCACTACGGATCATTTCTGAGAAATAGGATATAGCATCCCAGGCATTCCCATGAAGTGCTAAACCACAAATAATGGCTGTCCAGGTCAAACAATTCTTTTGAGGAACCTCTTGGAAAACCTGGAGAGCCTTTGCAATATTTCCACACTTAGCATACATGTCAACTAGTGCAGTTCCCAATGCAACATCGAGAGAAATACTATGCCTTTTAGTATAATGGTGAATCCATATTCCTACGTCAAGTGCTCCTAGTTGTGAGCATGCAGACAAACAGTTAACCATGGTAACTTTATCAGGTTTGATTTTCTTAATTTGCATTTCATGGAACAGAGCCAGGGCCTCTTTACTATTCTTAGCTTGGACACANATGAAGAAGTGGGTGGAAGTTCCATGAAGATGGAAGAAAGTCTGATGAAGATGGAAGAAACATATGTTGAAAAGATGAAATTAGCTTGTTTAGAGAAAAGTGTTGTTATGTTGGGAAAGTGGTTGAAGGTTTTAATGAGGATAGTCTTTGTTATATGTGTTTGTAATGTAATTGTAATATCAATGTTGATGAAACTTGGTTGATTTAGTACAAGTTTATGTATTGTAATTTGCTATTTGTAATGTTATTGTCTGTTTTATTTATAAACGTGAGTGATTACTGTTTAATATTGTCTAATTTGATTTATTTAATTATAATGCTCATTAAATATAGGAATGATCACTTGTAGTGAATAAGGTAAAGAAAGTGAAAAAGAAACATCATAAAGCAACGGTCAATAAACATCATACAGGAATGATCACCTCATCAATACGCAATGGTCAATAAACATGATAAAACATTGTCTTATAATCGAAAGAAACCCGATAACAACATTGTCTTACATTATCAAAATACACCAAAATAAACTGATAAAACATTGTTCCTTGATCATTAAACATTACATGATATTTAAAAGATTGTGTTCAAAATGAAAGTGCAAACATTTTCTACAAATTAAAGATGAGTTCATTGATCAGAAGGAAGCACAATAGATTCCTGAGTAATAGGCACATATGTTGGTGGAGGTATTGTGACTTGTGTTTCTTGAGTAGATTAATCAGTAGGCACATGTGTTGGTGGAGGTATTGTGACTTATTTTTGTTGAGTAGATCGGTGAATAGGAAGCACAACTCTTGGAGGTCTTTGTGGACAAGATCTTTTGTTGTGTCCAAGTTCTTTCAGAGAGCACGTCTTTCTGCTCCTACCCTTTCTTAATTTAGTTACATTTTTTTGTGGACAAGATCTTTTGTTGTGTCCAAAATCTTTTGTAATGGTTTTTGAAAAAGAAAATTTAATTAAAAAAGCAACACGTGTGATATATGTGTCAACACACATATCACAATATTTGATAATGAGTTGGAACGTCGTTTGTCAGGCATGATAAATTTTAACGTTGTTGAAAAGTAGATATCAAAATCAATGTTTTTCAAAGTACAAAGAAAATGACCAAGTTACGACCAGGAACCATTTTCAATTTTATGTAAAATTTCAGAAATCAAAAACTAATTTTTTTTTATAATTATTATAGTTATTATTTTGGTTAACTGTATTGATATTATATATATTTCTAACTATTTATTTTACATTATCAATTTTATAATGTTTTATTTAATAGTTTTACACTAATTAAATGAAATGTTAAAAGAAATCTAATAAAAAGTTTATTTTATGGTTTTATTTTAAAATAAAATCATATAATCTAGACCTATTTAATTATGAGAGTTAATTACTTTTATTTTTGTACAGTTAAAAAACATTTTTTTTAAAATAACTGAATATATACCTGTACTTGCCAATATGAGCAGTAAAAATATATTATATCACAGGATTTTAACACAAAAGACAAGGTTTAAATCAACACTAACAATCTGTAGTCTCTGACCTAGAGAACAATTGGATCTTGAACAAATAAAAGAGGTACTGAAAGTAAAAAAGAAGTGGATCAAATGGAAGATAACCCAATTAAATGGAATGAAAAAGCAAAGAAAATATTACAAGAAACTACTAAGAATGACCTTGCTAAAAGTGATTTTTATTGATAGTTTAGTTTTTCACAAAGTTTCACGGTGTCAATTGATCCATATAGCTGACCTCAGCTAACAAGGTAAGAATTGGTTGCTGTATTTTTAAGCCATTCTGCGTGCCATGCCAATGCAAAACATACAACTTGTCAGGACAAAACATCCTAGTATCAGATATCATTTGCTTTCTCATTCAACACTTGTTGTCACCATTTCCATGCACAATGATGGATAATCTTCCAGCAGGTTATAGCAATCGGTAGAAGAGCATCAACCAGTGCAAAAGAATCATCACATGTTTCATAAACCTCCTGATGGGAAACTCACATGGTGAATTTGTGCAGTTCTTGGTAACTCTTAGTGTGAAAGCCTGTCATTGAACAGATAACTGCAAGTAAACCTCAATGGTTCAATCCAATAAAGCGCGGTTAAAGGTTTGGGAGGCTTAAAATGAGACATTTTTATTTACTAATAAAATAATTTATGTTAAAATGTATCACAATTTTATTTAAAATTTATTTTTCAAGCTTTTTCTTATGTAAAATTATCTATTAAATTAGTACCAAAAAATATTTTTTGAAGCCTTTTTTTTCCTGAAGACCTAAAACAAGGGTTTTACCTGCTTGAGCCTTAAGACGACCTGAACCCAATTCACAAGTAAAATGGGTCTTGTTTGGGGGCAGTAGTAGCAGCAACCAAAGATTTTGCCCACCATACCATTTTACGGTTGTCCATTTTGGCAGTAATACATGGATAACCTATATTGAATCCAGCTCCCACTTTCTTTGGTCAATTTCAAGACAGAATTTACAGTATCAGTTTTCTTCCTACTCCTCCTGAGCCAGAAACAGCAGAATAATTTAGTTGTTGATATTAATATTAAAAAAAATGTTACTAAAGAAGCAGCAGGAAAAAAAAAACTAAAAAATGAACAATGCATTGAAGCAAACATGAGTAGACATGTGAATCATGTATGGTAGCAATAATATGAAACCAAGAAGCAGAAATAGAAAGCGTCAGCAATTGGATTTGGACAAATTTTTTAAAGCAATATTTATTTTGTGTTGTTGATGCAGTATATTGATCAGATAAATTCATAAGCTTTCAAATGCAAGCATGACCACAATCCAATATACAAGAGCCATGAGTTTATACATAACATTCAGAATTTCTTTAACTTGACCTCTTCATCCCGTAGAGTCTAGAAGTAGAACCAAGTCATGAAGTCATTTAAGTTGGAGTCCAACACCGTAACTATGCAAGTATTCTCCAAAATGTACATGGCATCATTAGAATCAATGTTCTGGCCAATGATTGCCATAGTTGGTTCTGGTTCTGTACCATACGATTGTTTCTTTGGCACGGAGAATCATAAAATTTAGTCTTGAACAATCTTATAATAGAAATCATATCACTAGATCAATCATTGATCAAGTTAAATATTTGAAACAATAACAGATCACAACCAAGCCATGAGCTGCATACGAGATTTGACCAACATAAGGAGGAAACTTTAAGCAAGGACAAAAACTAGGGGGTAAACAGTAAAAAGATGTATGATGGGAGAAAGATGTTGTTAGGTTTCTTGGTATCAAGTAACCTAGATACTATCTTAGAGTCAATCATCACAACAAGTTTATGAATTCTCACAAGGGAAAAACAGTTTTATTGAATGGGAAACAGTGAAAGCAATCAACAACAGTCAAGGGAAAAACATTCCCTTACACAGGATCCTGTTTCAGAAATAAAACACTCTCGACAACCAACCCAATACACCCCAACTCCTTAAAAGACAAACAAAACATAATTGACAAAGAAACTACTGCTAACTGCTGTAAAACTCCTCCTAACTCCTCCAACCACCACTTACTAACTGTTCTTTCTATTTTTTCTGACATAAACCTTCCAAGACCTATCAATACTGCCAGGGGTCTGAACAACCTTGTCCTCAAGTGTTACGGTATAAGGTAGGGGGTAATAATAAGGTTTTGAAAGTATCTGAGAAGGAGAAAGAAGGTAGGAGGAAAGTGAGGCCGAACGGTATTGACCGTAAAGACCGAACGGTAGCCTAACGGTGGAAGGCGTTGCCAACAAATTTTGTTGATTTTGAGTGGTTATAAGTTGTTCCAACAAATACCTCAAACTTCTTTGATCTATATGCACCATAGGTTTTTGCCTCAACAAATATGGTCTCCAATGTTGAATAGAAAGAACCAAAGCCATCAATTCCTTCTCATATATAGAATTGGACAGGGAAGAACCATTTAAGGCTTTACTAAAATAAGCAATAGGTCTTCTATTCTGTGATAAAATTGCCCCAATACCTTTTCCAGATGCATAACACTCCAGATGGAAAATCTGTGACAAATCAGGTAGTGCCAACAATGGTGCTGTTGTGAGAGAAATTTTAAGGGTTTGCATGGCTGCTTTACCTAGGGAAGTTCATTCAAATTGTCCCTTTCGTAAGAGATTTGTCAATGGCTTAACAATCTTCCCATAATCCTTAATAAACCGCCTATAATACCCCGATAACCCTAAGAATCCCCTTTTCTAGAAATAACATGTCCCAAATAGCTTATTTGTAGCCTGCCAAAGTCACATTTCTTCTTATTGGCATACAGTTGTTGTTGTCTCAATGTTTGGAGAACTTGCTTTAGATGGTCCCTATGTTCCTCCGATAAATTCCTATAAATTAAAATATCATCAGAAAAGACTAGTACACATCTCCTCAAAAACTGCCTCAAGACTGTGTTCATTAAACATTGAAAAGTGGTAGGAGCGTTAGATAATCCAAATGACATCACCAAGAATTCATAATACCCTTGATGAGTACGGAAAGCAGTCTTTGGAATATCTTTCTCCTCCATTCTGATTTGGTGGTATCCAGCCTTCAAATCTACTTTATAGAAATAAGTAGCCTCATTTAATTCATCTAGTAACTCCTCAATAACTGGAATGAGGAACTTATCCGGAATGGTGGCCTTATTTAATGCCCTATAATCTATA